GAATGAATATATGTTTGCAACCTGACTTACTTTGGGACATGCTTACTGTTCTGGTCTAAAGTAGCTACTCCTACTAGAGATTCAATCACTAGGAGGGAAGGGACAGTCTGCCATGGGCCTGTGCCTCACATACTGGCTGTACAGTGTCCCCAAGAGCTGGGCACTGCTTCGGGTCCCACCAAGAAATCATGTCCATTACGTCTATTTGCCCAATACAGAAAAGTATTTAGGAAAAAAACACCCACAATTATACTATCCATTTAACAAGAAGAACGAGTTCACATACTTCCTTTGGGACTGCTTTCAATCTATATTTAGCATACCAGATCATACTACACATGCAATTTTTGATTAAACATCATAGCAGAAGCAGCTTGAATTGTGAAGAGCATGGCAAAAACTTTACACGGATAGGCTAAGAGTTCAATTTAACTCAACAAATAGGGATTGAGCCCCTCTATTATTTGGGTTCTGAGAACATGACCATTAGATTCTGAGTGCTTATCACTGCTCAAAAATAATGAAAAGTATAGTGTGCTTCAGATAACTAACTAAAAGTCCAAAAGATACTAAGTCTAAGCTGGTTTATGGAGCGTGCTGTTGCTGGTGTTCCTAAACAAATCAGGAAATGACTTCTTTCTTACTATTATCCTTACTTGCTGACAGCTGAACCCATTTCACACCTTCTGAACTACAGTTTTATTTTTATTTTTAATTTATTAATTTTTTTTGGTGGCTGGCCAGTAAGGGGATCTGAACTCTTGACCTTATAACACTGTACTCTAACCAACTGAGCTAACTGGCCAGCCCTTTTAAAATTTTTAAAACGGTAAGTACCATATGAGCTCAGGGTTGATACCATACCAATTAATACTCTAATAGTTATGTGTGTGTTTTTAAAAACAAAACATTTAGTGGTTACACCAACTGGGTTAAAACACTTTTCCTTGAAGAACAATTTAAAATATAGTCTGTGACTCCCAAATAGAAAAGGCAGAGATTCCCAAAGACATTTTTCTAATATGCAAACATTCCCTAATAACTACGAGCTGTACATTCCAGATTTTTAAGAGGCTATCCAAGAAAAAAA